TTTGGCATACCTGAATGAAAGCAGATATCACCCACTTCTCTTTCCAGTTGCTGACTCGAAGTGTGTGTAGGTGTTCCAGTTGCTGACTCCAAGTGTGTGTAGGTGTTCCAGTTGCTGACTCGAAGTGTGTGTAGGTGTTCCAGTTGCTGACTCCAAGTGTGTATAGGTGTTCCAGTTGCTGACTCCAAGTGTGTGTAGGTGTTCCAGTTGCTGACTCCAAGTGTGTGTAGGTGTTTCAGTTGCTGACTCCAAATGTCTGTAGGTGTTCCAGTTGCTGACTCTAAGTGTGTGTAGGTGTTCCAGTTGCTGACTCCAAGTGTGTGTAGTTGTGCCAGTTGCTGACTCCAAGTGTGCATAGGTGTTCCAGTTGCTGACTCCAAGTGTGTGTAGGTGTTCCAGTTGCTGACTCCAAGTGTGTGTAGGTGTTCCAGTTGCTGACTCCAAGTGTGTGTAGGTGTTCCAGTTGCTGACTCCAAGTGTGCGTAGGTGTGCCAGTTGCTGACTCCATGTGTGTGTAGGTGTTCCAGTTGCTGACTCTAAGTGTGTGTAGGTGTTCCAGTTGCTGACTCCAAGTGTGTGTAGGTGTGCCAGTTGCTGACTCCATGTGTGTGTAGGTGTTCCAGTTGCTGACTCTAAGTGTGTGTAGGTGTGCCAGTTGCTGACTCCATGTGTGTGTAGGTGTTCCAGTTGCTGACTCCAGGTGTGTGTAGGTGTGCCAGTTGCTGACTCCAAGTGTGTGTAGGTGTTCCAGTTGCTGACTCCAAGTGTGTGTAGGTGTTCCAGTTGCTGACTCCAAGTGTGTGTAGGTGTTCCAGTTGCTGACTCCAAGTGTGCGTAGGTGTGCCAGTTGCTGACTCCATGTGTGTGTAGGTGTTCCAGTTGCTGACTCTAAGTGTGTGTAGGTGTTCCAGTTGCTGACTCCAAGTGTGTGTAGGTGTGCCAGTTGCTGACTCCATGTGTGTGTAGGTGTTCCAGTTGCTGACTCTAAGTGTGTGTAGGTGTGCCAGTTGCTGACTCCATGTGTGTGTAGGTGTTCCAGTTGCTGACTCCAAGTGTGTGTAGGTGTGCCAGTTGCTGACTCCATGTGTGTGTAGGTGTTCCAGTTGCTGACTCCAAGTGTGTGTAGGTGTGCCAGTTGCTGACTCCATGTGTGTGTAGGTGTGCCAGAGTATCAGCTCTAAACCCTCATCTTGGCCTGCCTTCTGGTCTAATCCCATTTAGCTCTTTTGCGTACACAATATTTGTTTCTCAGTTATCTGCCCTTCTCTCCACAGGCCTCAACTAAGTCCAATTAACACAACAGACTAAAATTTGTGCCTGCTAGGAAATCATCACTAATGAGTCTCTGTGTTGTGTATTTTTTGCACGTAAATTTGAAGGTATGAGTTTGACAACCATGCTTTTGAATTTTGAATTTACATTCATACTATGAATTTAATATATGATATAAAAAATACAAACCCCATGTGAAAAATAAGTATTTGAAAAAGCCAAATGTAAGACGAGCCTGTGTGCCCAATTTGTGACCCTTTAGAAATAAAGTTTTTTTTTGTTTTTTTGTTTGTTCATTCATCATCCTCCACTTCTACTGCTGAAAGTTTTGAAAAGGAACATTTTGCGATCCATTGCTCGATTCGTGACACTGTCTATTAACATTTTGTGCTGAGGCACGTCTTTAATGTCATCAATCCTTCTTCTCATTTGGGGTCCTCTTGCTCTCACATCAAAGGTAACTGGGAATAGACTACAACTTTGTCTCAAGACCCACCATGGGCGAGTAATAGCAAAATCAATTACCAAACTGTGACTGCAGGTTCAGTTTCATGTAGTAACAGGTATCTTCATCACCTGTTTGTTCTACCTGTGATTTTCAGATGAGAAGGCCATAGTCCACTAAGTAGGCTGTGCTGCAACACCCGTGCTGCAACTGACCCAGCTTGATTTCTATTAGCTGGCCAAACCTGGGATCTTTCTACTGCACCTAGAGAAGATGTCTGCAGGATATGTTCAGTATTCTGCCGTGCCTCATGGACAATGTTCTGAGTCCCTACTCTTGAATGTCTTGTATATGTGGCAGCAGAGTCTGCTGTGTTCAGTAGACAATATAAATACTGTTGTCTATTACTATTGTGTGCAGAGGTTGACTGGGTTTTTCGGATTGTGGCAAGCCTGATCTTTGCCCCAACCAGCATGGCTCTTAAGATTAGCATGGTCTTAAGACCAGGTCTGATCTTTGCCCCAACCAGCATGGCTCTTAAGATAAGTATGGTCTTAAGACCAGGTCTGATCTTTGTCCCAACCAGCATGGCTCTTAAGATCAGGTCTGATCTTTGCCCCAACCAGCATGGCTCTTAAGATTAGCATGGTCTTAGGTGGGTGCTACTAAAGATCTGGTTGGCAAGTCAGGATGGAAAAGAATCTTTTAGCCAACACTATAATAGCACTCAGAGCATATTCATACATGCTCAGTCTTGTTGATGAGATAGGTAAACTAAAGGACTCTTTTCACACCAGTCACTAACTGAGAATATAATACCAGACTTTCACGGACCAATCAGCACTCAAATAAGTGACGTGGTCAAGATCCTGCTGGCTGCCTTTACTTCCTTGGACATTACCTGGTACCCACATTTGGAAGGATTAACCAGCAAGCCAAGGACATTTTTGAAAAAAAAAAGAAGAAATCTTGATCTTCAGGTCAAGCATCTAGTCGTTAGTTGAACAGCATAGATCCTTACATAAAACCAAATTGTGACCAGTACCATCAGTACTAGAACTCTGTACCAGCTGCTGAAGATGAGGATAGAGCATGCATGGGAATACCCCAAGTGCTGTGATGTAAATTCCTAACTTAACTCAGATCCTTAATTCCAGTGACCGAGTGACCCTGCTGAAATCCTCTTCATCTTTTACTATGCTCCTTCCTGCCGGTCGGCGTCTGTGGGTTAGGGGTTGTGAACATATTTTCACAATCCGAACACACCAGGGATCAAAGTCAGTTGCAGGTGATTTAGCAGCAGACCATACTTTACTGTGTATAAGACGCCCCCCACGAAAGCCCAAAATTAAGACACAAATATTTAAAACTCATTCTGTGTATAAGATGACCCCAATTCTGTAAGCTCAAAATTGAGACATAAATATTAAAAACCCATTTTGCGTATAAGATAATCTCAATTTTGTAAGCTAAAAATTCAGACATACATATTTTAAACCTATTCTCTGTCTAAGGCAACCCCCAATATTAAAAAAAAAAAACTATAAAAAAAAACTGGGAAAAAAATATTGTCTTATACACAGAGAAATACAGTATATTAATACTTTCATTTTAAGGGAAGTCCCTCAGTATTTCAGATTTGGCTGTTCATAACTACACACAACACATAATGACTTCACATCATATGATGTTTTATGTACAAATATAATTGACGTTGCTTGTAAATCTACAAAAATGGTCTGCCATGCAATTAAATTTCATATGGTAAGGATTATTATGTCTTAAATGTATGGCACATCATCCAACCCGAATTCATGAGATTTTTAATCATATACAAATAATGAAACAATTCAAACAAAAACATAAACTCATCAATATCACTTTATCTTCTCCCCACATTAGTTTTCTTTTCAGCATAGTAATTACAACTGTAGTTGCTTCTTATCTCTAAAACATAGAACATAAAAACAATATAGAGTGGATAGAGTCCTTCAGACTCGCAACAATGACAGGTCTTCTTTAATTAGCTGGGAAAAAGTTTTACTGAAAATTTTTTTCCCCCTAAAATCTATGACAGACCTAGAAATCATATTAAATGAATATACTCAAGAATTCCTTCCAAACTACGGAAGACAGAGACACAATTATGTTAGATTATATACGTTTTATATAAGTATGGCAGTCCATCCATTTTACTAAAATACATTTTCAGAATTATGATTTATAAAAAAAGTTACCATAATAAATGAAGTATAAATCGTTTCTTCAGAATAATGATAAGCCAGACAGTTATATAAAGTAATTCTTTAAGTTCTATGGTAAGCCAAATCAAAATGTGTGATAAAACTCATATAAAAAGAATTTTTTCAGAACTAAGTTTACCAAAAAAGCCACTCTGCTAAAACCATTAAAAAAACAAATTAAATCAGAACTATGATAGTTTCAAATAGTTCAAAAAAGGAATTCTCTTCGTTCTATGTAAAACTAAAAAATTTCTATGGTTAACCCAAAAGTCATTATTTTTTTTCTGCCAAAGTTTTTTTGTTTGTTTTTAATCAGAAACACGAAGGCACAAAATTCCAAAAAATGAATTCTTTCAGCAAACCAAATCAAAACACGTAAAATATCTTCTTTAAAACGAACTGTCAGAATTATGGCTTACCGAAAGTCATTTTCATACAAATCTGCTACAACAGTTTTTAAACAGACGACTGATCCAAACATTTTAGAAAGGGAACTTGAACAAGCTATGTTGTAATTTATTTACTTAAGATATACTTTGCAGCTATGGCAGACCATACAGTTTTAAATGACATCACCAAAAAAAATTTTTTTTTTTTTACATATGAGCTTTAGCGTGAGTTATGTATTATGAACTTTGGTGTGAACATCGTGAGACGCACAATAAAACATCGGATGTCGGCACATGTCACGGGGAATGACAACCAATAATAAATGTTGATTCACATGAAAAGCAACAAGTCTGGACAGTCAACAAAATGCTGCAGGCAGCAACAGCCATCATTATGTCGGATCAACTCTTGTCATACAACAACACCAAAACCATCTAAATGAAATGAACTGTGAAAATCAACTAATCGCGACTTCTTCCAACAGTCGTATTGACCACTCAACAGCAGCCGCTGTTGGTGATGAGAAAGATGTGGCTACAATATAAAATGGATCACAACACCTACGTTATTTGTGTGTGTGTGTGTGTGTGTGTGTGTGTATGCTCAAGGGTAAAGTGGAAGTACATAAATTTAAAACAAAAAATGGACGCTCATTTTTTCTTTAAGCTACTCGATGTTGTAGATCTCATGTACGACCCGCCTCCTCCACCGGATGTCAAGTTCGTCAGGGAGCCGCCCATTGTTGGCATGCTTCTCCGGTTGAAAGGGTTCTCTTTCTTGGAGTTCTTCCTTTTCTTGTCCCAGATCAGCTTGTCTGGCTGAACAAACACCCCATGGCGGGAGCGACAGTTGAAGTAACGAATCCCTTTGACAGCACCGTCATTTTTACCTGCAAAGATAGAAGCAGCATTCAATTCAAAGCCTTCCAGTAGCAACTTGTGGGTCGGTGTCATGGACTGAAAGGCTACATACAAAAGGGTTCTTAGAATACCATGCACCAAGATGAAGAAAAACACTCATATCCGGCATGGCCTGAACATCAAAGAGAACTGGCTTGTAAACAACATCCTCTCCCGAAAGCTGAAGTCTTTTGGACATTTCAACCGCTGCATTGGCTATGAAAGCATACAAGGCTGGAGATTTGGCTAGAGAAAGAATGGCTTTAAGTTGTGCCAAGAAGAGAACAATTTTCTATAATGGACATGCTGATTGATGAGCATTCAATTTATCCGGCAACAACAGGAAATGAAGAAATTTAAGTGTGCTTGACAAAACTACTGTAAACAAATAAAGAATGATTTGGTGACAAGCCTTCATCAGCAATCAACAATAACAAATAAAACGAAACACAACAAATGAAATGACGCTAAAGTAACTGACAACTGGGACACACTGCAGAATGCTGTATGACATCAAGTTTGAGACAGATGTTTGTTAGTTTCATGATGTTTGTGTCAAATGTTCCTTTATGGCATGACATTTGTGTTGGATGTTCCTTCATTACTAGACATTCGTGTCAGATGTTCATTCTATGACATCTGAGTTAGATGTTTCTTCATTCCATAACATTTGAGTCCAACGTTCCTTCACTCCTTGACATTTGAGTCAAATGTTCCTTCATTCCATGACATTTGAGTCTGATGTTCCTTCATTCCATGACATTTGAGTCAAACATTCGTTCATTTCATGACATTTGAGTCAAACGTTCCTTTATTTCATGACATTTGAGTCAAACATTCTCAAAAGTTCCTTCATTTCATGACATTTGAGTCAAACATTCCTTTATTTCATGACATTTGAGTCAAACATACCTTCATTTCATGACATTTGAGTCAAACGTTCCTTCATTTCAGGACATTTGAGTCAAATGTTCCTTCATTTCATGACATTTGAGTCAAATGTTCCTTCATTTCATGACATTTGAGTAAAACGTTTCTTCATTCCATGACATTTGAGTCAAACGTTCCTTCATTCCATGACATCTGAGTCAAACGTCCCTTCATTTCATGACATTTGAGTCAAACATTCCTTCATTTCATGACATATGAGTCACATTCTTTCATTCTATGGTGTTTTTGTGTAAAATATTCCTCCATTATATGACGTCTGAGTCAGACATTCCTTCATTCCATGACTGAGTCAGACATTCTTTCATTCCATGACTGAGTCAGACATTCCTTCATTCCATGACTGAGTCAGACATTCCTTCATTCTATGACTGAGTCAGACATTCCTTCATTCTATGACTGAGTCAGACATTCCTTCATTCCATGACTGAGTCAGACATTCCTTCATTCCATGACTGAGTCAGACATTCCTTCATTCCATGACTGAGTCAGACATTCCTTCATTCCATGACTGAGTCAGACATTCCTTCATTCCATGACTGAGTCAGACATTCCTTCATTCCATGACTGAGTCAGACATTCCTTCATTCCATGACTGAGTCAGACATTCCTTCATTCCATGACTGAGTCAGACATTCCTTCATTCCATGACTGAGTCAGACATTCCTTCATTCCATGACTGAGTCAGACATTCCTTCATTCCATGACTGAGTCAGACATTCCTTCATTCCATGACTGAGTCAGACATTCCTTCATTCCATGACTGAGTCAGACATTCCTTCATTCTATTTAATTCCCTAACTTCTGCTCAGGCACCAGTTAATAAAAGTTTGCAACAATTTCATGCTACAACTGACTGTACCTTCTGGTTGGTCCAGCTCCACCCCAATCCACATGCCACTGGCAAACTGGACTGTTCCGACAAATCTGATGGTGCCAGACTTTGAGTGACTTTTGGATGATGCTACATTTACGTGCTCTCCTTCCTGTATCCAGCCGGGGATAGGGCCCTCGTGCAGACGGTCAAGGTCAGCCCGACTTCCGAATGAGCATTCGCTCATTGCGTCTTCATTCACTGGTGACAGATAAAATGTGAGATAAATATTGCAAATACAAGATATGATAAAAATGATGTGTGATAAATATGATGAATGTAATCTTTGATATATATTAGAATGCATATATGATAAATGAAAAGTATGATAAATATGACACATGCAATGAGTGAAAATATGATAAATGCAACATATCACACACCCACTCACTCACACACACACAATTTATGATAAATATGGCAAATGCAATGTGATAAATATGAAAAATGCAATGTGTCATAAAGATGATGAATGTAATGTATGAAATATATTTATGATAAATATGACAAATGAAGTGTATGATAAATATTATAAATACAAATATGATTTACTCAATGTGTGACACATACAATGCATGATAAATATGATAAATGCAACATGAGATAAATATTAAAAATGAAAAGTATGATATATATTATATATATACAATTTATGATAAATGCAGTGAATGAAAAATAGCACACATGCAATACGTGAAAATATGATACATACAATGTATGATATATATTATAAATACACTTTATGATAAATGCAACATATGATATATATATATATATATATATATTAAATACATTATATATACAATTTATGATAAATACGACAAATGCAGTGTGTGATAAACATGATACGTGTAATAAAGGTGAGAGGATTGACTTCAGTGCAGCCGGTTTTATCCTATCTGACTGCAGAAGGGCTAGCTGCCTGCAAAGAGGGTCAAACAAAGCACAAACTCTGTAGCTCTAGTGACGATCCCCAGGACAGGAATGAGTCAGACCAATATGCTAGGTTATCGATATGGACAATAACAAACAAGAAAACTGAAGGCAGGTTCCTTACCTGACAGGTGTTCCTCGGAGCTGTTGCTGTCTACACAATAACCTCCCTCCTGCCAGGCTCGGGTCATCATCTCCACATGAGGGGAGACAATCATGGACATCGGCCGAGGCCTGACCCCTCCACTCCTGCGTTTGTTGTTTCCATTCTTCTTGTCACCCGGGGATTTATCTCCCTTATTCTGAGTCGATGGCGATAAGAATGAAGTCTTAGCTGTTTTACCTTTAGTATCTGCGTTTTTATCCTTCTGTAGGTCAAGGACTGTACTAGAGGTGACTGTTGATTTGATCTCGTTCTGAACAGTCTTTGGATTAGGTTTCTGAATAACGTGGCTTTTGACCTCCTGTTCTGTGAACTTTCCACTACCTTCTATATCCACATCTTCATCATCTGCCTCATCATCTTCTCCCAATTTCTCCAGCTCCTCCATTGCATCCACACTGTATGGATCATTGTCTGTCTCTACAGGACAGCTGCTGCTGTACTGTTCTTGCTGTACTGTGTTCTCCGAATCACCAACATCCGTCAGATCATCTTTTCCAGCCTTTGACTGTTCCTGTCCCGCAGTCTTCTGCTCACTAAGAGGATCAGTCTTTCCCGGGGCATCCGAAATTGGATCATGAAGCTTCTCCCCAACACAGGCCATGTTGCCTTTCTCTCCAGCAATGCTCCTGCTGGCATCCGCCTTGGTGATCATACCAGAATCTCCCTCCTTCCCAGCATGTTCCCTGGACACATGTTTCTCGTCATCATCCTCCCTCTGATGACCCTCCCCCAGATCATCGTTGTCCAAACTCTGCAGGGCCGAGTGCTGACGGATAGTTTCTGTGTTCTCCTCAATACTTTTGATGCTGGCCGAGTCTTCCGAGGATAAAGTCAAGGTTGACACCGCCTGAGAGCCGTACCCACTGGAGGTCATGCTTGGAGTGTAGCCTGTCAGAGCAGAAGAAAAATAAATGGGTACTGATTGGCACTTATTGAATGAGACAGATACCATTAAATAAACAGTCTGATAATTGTGTCACTCTATGCTACCAGTACAGCAGCCATCGTGGTGTAGCGCCTAGATGCTCGCCTGTGGATCTGAAGGTCAGGGGTACTAATCCAGACAGTACTGGACATTTAAAAAAAATGACCTTAGCTCACAGGTCAACCCATCCTTAAATGGGCAGCAGGTAAAGTCCTGGAAAATAAAGGCGGCCGGCATGATGTTGACTACATCACCCACCAAGTGCTGTTTGGTCTTTAAAATACAGATCTAGCCCTATAAACCCATTACGCCTGAAAGGCATGGAAAAAAGTCCTTTACTTTTACCCACAGAGTGCTGACTGGTCTATAAAATATAGGTCTAGCCCAATATGCTCAATGTAGATGAAGGTGTGGAAAATAATTTAAAAAAAAAAATATTTTACTATGGTACCCATACACAACAGGGCTCAGTAGAGGGAAAGAGAGAAGGCTAAGAAAGAAAGACCTGGACAAGCCTCAGACATGCACACATCAAGTCCACTGCACCTGGACAGACACAGGCAGAGTGAACTGATCAGACAGTCAACAGTAAACCAACAACAAGCTGTGTTACAGGACTATAATGATGATGATACCATCCTGGTCACTCTCAATAAAACAGAAAAGAAAACGAGCTACCATGAAAATGAAATGTCTGAGAGAGACTGCTGGTGTGACAGGAAGAGATGACATAACAATATATATATAATACTAGACTATATGCAAGACGGACATACAACCAGATTGTGACAGGTACCATCAGGATTGGAACTCTGCGCTGGCTGCTGAAGATGAGGACAGAGCACACATGGGAATGCCCCGAGTGCTGTGATGTCAATTCTTGACTCCACTTAAACCAACTCTACTAGACTATACACAAAGACAGCATTTAAAATGATTTTCCATTGTGTTCGCTGAGAGGATTGGTGTTTATAGAAGCATCTGATTTCATATTTGGACCAATCTCCCACCTATTTAATGAGGGTTCTGTCTGACCAAATGGCAAATGAAAAGCAAAGGACCCTTTTTGCACCACAGGTGTAACAGGCATAAAGTATTTCTTCTTGTTTTAGAACTTGAGATTCATGTGTTGTACAGATCTAACTGATTTGTGTGCAAACTGATTTTGGTTCCTCACCTGTCAGACACATGTACTCAGACTCTGAAGGAAACCCTCTAATTAGTTGACTCTTATGACAAGCTTGTAAGAGGGCAGTGTGTCTCCCCCCCCCCCCAATCTCCTCAAATTGGTCCCCAGAATCCACACAGGAAAGGCATATCGTGCAAAGACCCCTTTTTTTTTTACAGACCAATCCGCACTTTAAGGCTACAGTGGTCAACAGCTTGCCGGCCATCTTTAATTGCCAGGATATTTCCTTACAGTCATTTATTTAAGGCTGGTTCCAGAACAGATAAGAGATGTGGAAAAGAAAAGAGGTCCAAAACAGAAAAGAGATGTGGAACAGAAAAGAGATGTGCAACAAAAAAGAGATGTGGAACAGCAAAGAGACGTGCAACCGAAAAGAGATGTGGAACAGAAAAAAGATGTGGAAAAGAAAAGGGGTGTGGAACAGAAAAGAGATGCGCCAAAAGTATAGAGAACATCTGTCCTAAAAGATGTCAACTCTAAGCTACCTGTCTACCAACAACACTGACCTTTGATGTGCCCATCAGACAAGCTGTCACCTGTTGAAGATGGGGTCATGTTGGCAGGTAGCTGGCCTCCTTTAGACACCTGCTGAGAATGACCTGATTCATAGTCCTGGTTCTCATCCGAGTCCAGACTGTGAGAGTCAGCTTCGGGGTCCAGGCGTCTTCGGACAGTCGTTTTGTGGCCAGAGTTCTCCTCATCATCAAGATCCTGTGGTATATTTTTGTATAAAGACAGATATTTATAATTATGAGACGATTAAGAACTTTATATTTCGGAACAATACCCAAAATGCAGAAATATGAAGATGAGTGCCATCAGCAACAGTTATGAGCCTGTGAGAAGCACAGAACAAAAGCCAGATGCAGTGTCATTTGTTTTTGAAACAATCGCTCAAGCCACCTAAGAAGCACAAGACAGGTAGAGAAAACCACGACACAGAGCAACAACCCAGTAACAGCGTGAAGACAAAAGAATGTGATTTTAGGGAACCACTCTAGGAATTCAATGCTTGCCGTCACTTTTCAGGACATATCTTGCTTTCCATTTTTGACTAGGTCAATACGCAGCCCAAAAGGTCAACGACAAAACAAACAACCCCCCCCCCCCCCCCCCCCCAAAAAAAAACCACCTCTAGGCGGATTGGGAACTGCTATGGTGTAGTGGCTAGATGCTCATCCGGAGATCCGAAAGTCATGGATTTAAGTCCAAACAGAATTTGACTTTTTTTCTATAAAACTGACCGTGGCTTCCAGGTTGACCTAGCCTTGAGTAGGTAGCAGGTGAAGTCCTAGGAAGTAGATGTTGACCACATCACCTGCCTAGTGCCGCTTGGTCTATAAAATATAAGTCTAGCGCTATATATCAATACGGATGAAGTCGTAGAAAAGGGCCCTATGCAGATTATCTCACTCCTACACTGAGCCAGCGGGCATCAGGGATATCCCAGTAAAAAAAAACAAAATTAAAACCTCATATTTTTCATTTTCAGGTTTCAAATCTGCATGAATTCTTTTACATCCAGGGAGTTTTTAATTCAGCAGCGACTAGGCTTATGCCAAACTACTGAACATATTACTTGCCTAGAAAAATCACAACAGCCAAACAAAAAAATGCTGGAGTTGGTTCTGGAAAACCCTGTAAAGGATACATAACTAACTTTATTGTCTATGCCTGAGTTTTTGCATATTATAGCAACTATTATTTTAGTGTCAAAGAACTGAAAAATACAACTTTGGGACAGCAGTCTTTATAGTAGGAATGGAATTTTCCTGTGTGGGTTCTCACTGTGGGGGGGAAAACAAGAACTGGCCTAATGCCTCTCAAACAAGCATGTGGCAGGAGTAGACTAATGGGGAGGGGGGGGGGGTGCACACATTCAAGGTCAGAGTGCATGATGAGCCTCTGAGGCAAGGAACCAAGAGTCTGTATACAAGCAAGCCAGATCTGTAAACTGGATGCGCATGCAACACTCAGGTTCCGAAACA